AGGTACATTGAGGAAAAATATATTTTTCCCTGTGAGAATTTCATTCACCTTTTTTAGTTGTTTGGATTTTGGGGACAATGGGAGCGGTCAGGAAGTGAAAGGTCTCATCAAAGGCATTCAGGCCTTCTGTACACAGCATCTTTAAAACACACACACACACACACACACACACACACACACACACACATACGCACAATCAGCTAAGAAAATGTATTTAAATGCATTTGTAAGAAATGAGATAACCTTTACATTTAAGCTCTTTCCTTTGTTTTTAAGGTATACAAGCCTTTATTTGAAGCTGTAGGTGGCAGTGGGGGGAAGACATTGGAAGATGTTTTCTATGAGCGAGAGGTATGGCAGAAGTGGAAATATTATGGTTAATATGCTTTTGTTGTTGTTATCATGGGTTTTAGATGTTTTCTCACTTGGAGTCTCTTTTTATATTTCATTGGTTAAATAGATGCTTTGCAGTGAACATTGTGTTTTGGCATTCCCTTAGAGGGGCAGATCCTAGCAGCTCATAGATAGTTTCACATAAATTTGCCTGTGCTGAGTGTGTTTAGTGAAAACTTTAGAAGTGGGTTTTCCATGGTTAACCACAAAAGGAAGGCAAGAATGCCCTCACAGATACCAACTCTTCTCAGTTTGCTTCCTCTCACTCCTTAATCCATATGATCTGCAGGAAGGGTTTATATGTGGTTAAAATGCAGGCACAACTATACCTATGTGGGAATTATTCATATGGAAACTCATAGCCTAGTTTATTCCCTTTCCCTAAAAAGGCAGATTACATAATCAACTGGAGTCAGGTCCTTAGCTACTGCATTATTTAATGAAGAAAATTTTCATTTTTTCCCAAATGAGTTTGTTTCCACAAATCTAGAGAATTTTTGTAGTATATTCACTTGATGGAAACCATTGGCCCACCCATGCCTACATGATTGACTTAATATAGAGCCAGACTTCAGGGTTGGAATATATGCAGCTTGGGAACTTTCCTGTACCTAGACATTGGGCATTTTCCAATGGTCCACTTTCATAGAAAGAAATAGAAACAAGGCAAATAATACAACATATTAGGGATCTTTAAAACTACACAGGCTACACCAACATCACAAAGAGGCAGTCAAGGAAGCTGCTTTTCCCAGGGAAAAAAAATGAGCATCTACTGTACATACCAGGAGCAGCCTCCAATTAGTACTGTGTTACTTAGGGTTTGCAGAACAGCAGGATGGACTTGGGACCTCTTCTGCTTTCTTCCCATCCTAATATCAAAATGGAGCAAAGTGAAAAAACTGTTCAATTTGCAACTTAATTCTAGTTTTAAGAAACTTAATTTTCTTTTGCTTACTTAATTTTGTAGAACAAACCAATGCAACTGCATAGACTGTAGTTACAGAGCACCTAAAATCGGCTCACAGTGTCAGTCTGAATTCCAGAACACTGTCACACTGCCCTGAGAGAAAGAGAGCCTTAAATATCTCTTCAAATGTTTTGAAGTTGTGGCCAGGAATGAATATTTTACCAAAACTAGGCTATACCACCAACTGAAAGCAAGATAAATAATACTATGAAGTTAAACATACATTCCCTGAACACACCTTTCTGCTAACAGTGCTAGAATGTGAAGCCTGTCTTCTGAGTCCATAAATTTACTTTTTAAGTTGATACCTTCTACATTTGTCCATGGGATACTTCCTTAACATGTTTTGAGTTACCTCTACTCCCACTATTGGTCTAATTTGCATATTATTTAAGAATAAATAAGCACCACATAAGAAGAATATATTTCTTGTTTATTAATAATAAATAATAAATAATAAATAAATAAAATAATCTTGTTTATTACCTCATAAAAGTAGTATGTTGTAGACAAGCTGATGATCCATGTCATCTTTTTCCTTCTTTAGGTGCAAATGAATGTGCTGGCATTCAACAGACAATTCCACTATGGTGTGTTTTATGCATATGTAAAGTTGAAGGAGCAAGAGATGAGAAATATCGTGTAAATAGCAGAATGCATCTCGCAGAGACATCGAACTAAAATCAACAGTTATATTCCAATTTTATAAGCCAGTAATGAGGCCTCAAATGCAGAAAATTATACAGTTGAAAGGAAGTTATTGAGTAAAGAAAGGCATTGTGTCTTACATTATCTAGATTATACAAAAGTAAGTCGTATCTCCTTTCCAGGAATTGCATATCCCCTGGAAGCCCAATAAACTGAACTTAAAACAAAGCAGTCCATTCTTATTTTTGGCAAACCTTTATCATTTTTTCCAAGTTTATGTCTCATTGCTCACTGACCTTGCACATTCATTTTAACTGACCCTGTGGCATTTTTGTACTCTCATTTAGTTATGTTAAAATCATACCTAAACAAGTATTTCACTCTTCCTTTTCCATCCATCTCCCCAACCTCAAACTATATATATGAGAGATGGATAGATGGAAAGGGAGAAAGAGATATACAAACTATATAGATTTTTTGTTTTTTGACTTTATAGATATTTATGCGTATGGTTCTATCACACTTTTTTCAAGAAGAAAATTCCACTTGTTCCACTGTTCCTTCAGAAGAAAAAAATCAGATTTAATATGGCTGGGGTGTAAA